GGGGGAGGGGGGTAGCTTCAAGCTGGGGGCCCCCTTTTAGTCTATCGGGCCCCACGCGCGCGCTCTATCATTCCTCCTCTGAAGGGCAGTCCCCGGCAGAGGGGTGCCACCCCCCGGAAGCTCCGGACCCGCTGTGCTGCGCTTCTCGGGCCTGCCGACGAGGAGGCTCCTGTGGGGCGCTCCGCTCGGCTTCGCCCTGGGCCTCCGCCTGGGACTTCCGGGCCCTCCGCCCGGCAGGCCTCGATGGGCCGCCTCGGCCTCGCTGCCTGGGCCTCCCGACGCGCCTAGTGGGCCTCCCCCAGGGCTCCCGACTCCAACTTCGCGCTCTCCCGCGCTCTCGCGCTCTCGCGCTCTCGCGAATCACTCCGCGCTCTCGAGACCGCCCCCCAGGGGAATCGAGGAGGGTGAGGAAGAATCGGAGCCGTACCGCGAAGCGCGAATGGCTTCGCTCCCTCGAGGGCGCCCCTGCTCCGCAGGCCTCCGGAGTCTCCCGACAGGCCCGCTGGGCCTCCCGAGCGGCCTGGTGGGCCTCCCGAACGGCCCCTCTTGGGTCTTCCGAGCGGCCCGCTGGATCTGCCTGCAAGCCCCTTGGGGCCTCCCGACAGGCCTCTCGGGGCCTCCCGGTAGGCCTCCTGGCCCCCCCCCGACAAAAGCCTGTTAGAGGGCCTTCCCGAGGGGGCTCTTCGGCCTCGCTCAGCCTCTTGGGCCTCCCTGCAAGCCTCTTGGGCCTCCCTGCAGGCCTCCTGGGCTTCCCGACCGGCCTCTTGGGCCTCCCGACTGGCCACTCGGGCATCGGAACCACGTGGCCTGCGCTGCTTTTGAGCGTCCCCCCCATGCTCTTATAGACTGACTGGCACTCTTTGGCCAACGCGGCGATGCATGTCTTTCCATTTTGTCGATGATAAGCACTGGCTTGCTCTCCTGCCTCCCCGCCGCCGTTTTGGCTGTTTCAGGGGCCTCTGACCGCGTCGGGAGGGGGCCCCTTTGGCTTTTCGCGCGCTTGCGAGGGAAACGAACCTCTACTTCAATATTGGCAGCGGAGCTTCAGTGAAGCTGGTTCGATCCATAGGTCTACGGACTGCTGCGCCTGGGAGTCAGGGCAGCAAGAACACAGCGGTGCTGTGCGGAGCATCGGTGACTGAGGCCCTTGCGCGTCGGTGGCGCGGCTGCGCCTGGAAGTCAGGGCAGCAGACACACGGCGGTGCCGTGCAGAGCGTCGGTGACTCTTCACAGTGCGGAGCGCCAGTCAGCGGCCGCACCTTGCGCGACAGCGAGATTTACAGCCACGATGTCTAGTCCGTACGCAGGCACGGGGTTCCCCGCGGAGCGTGACATAGACGCCTGGGCGGAGGCAGCTAGGGCGATGGCGCGGCACGCCCGGGAACGGAGTTCCCGCAACGTCGCCATCCAATACGATAGTGATGCAGTGCGGGCACAGGATGACAGCCTCCAACCGTTCGGGGGGGGCGGTCAGGCGAAGTGTTCGCGACGCCGCCACGCAGTGGGAAACCGATGCGGATCAAGCAAAAAAACGCGGTCAAGCGAAGCTTCCGCAACGTCGGAACCCGGTAGAGGACCGAGGCGGAGGAGGCAGAGGATGCGCCAGCGGAGCTGGCCGCCCAGCGGACTGGCGGGCCCTCGAACGCGAAGAGTCGCCCCACGACCCACGGAGAGCGGGCGGTGGCTGGAGCTGCCACGCGCGGCTGGAGACCGCCACGGGCGGCGCGCGGGAGGAGTGGCGAGGGAGGCCTCCTCCTCCTTCTCCTCCTCCTCCTCCTCCTCTCTCCTCTCTCCTCTCCTCCTCCTCCTCTGTCCTTTCTCCTCCTTCCTCTCTCCTCCCTCCTCCTCCTCCTCCTCATCTTCCTCCTCCTGTTGAACCAGTTGAACGCTGCATAGGACTCCCGCACAGTCGCAAGAGGCCTAGCAAAATAAACAATAGAAGACCTTACCTCCCTTGGGGCACCTGGACGCTCCGTCCGGACACCGCACGGGAACTGGGGTCCTTGCCTGCAATCAGCATGGCCAAGGACTTCTCAACGGCCGAATTACGCGGGCGCTCGCGACACGGGTCTTTCAGGTACCGACTGCGAGCAACCCCAAACGCCGCGCATTTCCGACACCACACCACAGTCCCCGACGGTCCCGAGCCCATCCAAAGAACGTGGGAGTGGTGTGCCGACGCTGCGATGGCAGGGATGCCACGGCACGGGAAGGCGGCGAGGGCTCCTCTGGACCTCGCCTTCGTCCCGCACTCAGCACAAACAAAACACCCTCTTTGCAGATCGTGTGTCCGTTGGGGTCCGCAACTAATTAGAGCTGTGGGGTGTCCCTGGCGGGCCTCGTGGACTTGGGAGCCCGAAACCTCTCCACATCCTTGAGCCCAAGCCTAGAGACCTCCCCCAACATCAGCCCGAGAAAACGTCCAACCTGCGTTATACCAGGGGCGACCGTCCTGTACCAGCTCCTCGCAGGCTCGGGCTGAGCCTGGAGCTGGGTTCCTTCTCGCGCTAAGCGGTCGGCCTCTCGATTGCCCCGCCAGGCGTAGAAGGGAAAGTTCCTAGCAACTCCATCACCATGCGATAGGTGAGACTTGATCTTGCACAACTGGATGTTGTCCCATCCAATATCTCGACCCTTGGCCGAGACCTCAACCCAGACCTCAGAACACGCAAAACCTCGAGACATCCTGGTCTGGGCCAAAGCTCCATACGTCAATCAAAACTTTGCAATCAGTCCAGATCTCTTTAGGGCCAGCCTCAGCTAGCTCCAGAGCCATCAAGAGCGCCCACAACTCTCCGCCGAGGTTGGTCTGCAGCGGGTGTGGGAAGGGGCCATAAAGACTCCCCAGGATCGCGCCCTGCCGATCAACTGAGACTGCCGCCCAGCCTGCACGAGAACACCACGGCAGGCCTGGGCCAATCGCTGAGCCATCCAAGCAGTTTATTTCTTCCAGAAATCCGTGCCTAGGGAAAAACATGCCACTGCCGCCCCTGCTGCACGATCGGGCTAGGTGTGTAGCAAATTGGTGACGCCATCAGACCTCTAGTGTAAAACAAGCGCCATCTCGGGTCCGTGGCAGTGGACCCCGCCTGAACGAGACGCTGAAACCCTAGAGTCTGACGGCGCCCATGGAAAGCAGGGCGGACATAGCATCGATGCTTCTTACATCCCCATGGATGCCCACAAACCTGACACTCAGCGGAGGCAGAGCGCCTGCCCAGGAAAAAAGTCAACCTGGGCAGCCATGCCTCCCGACGCCACTGCGGCGAGGAGAGAGGCTTCAAGGCCCTTACCTGAGGCGCGGAAATCTTGGCACACCTCCTGCAGCGGCTCTAAGCAAGGGCGGAGGGGAGCATCACTTCCTACTGCCTCATCACTTATGGTCATGTCGCGAAGGAACATGTCCTTCGTGCCAGCGTCCACAATCGTTTTCACCGTCCGATTCCCGCGCGCTTGTAGGTCCAGACAGAGCCCAGTGTCCGTTTCCCAGCAGTCCCAACTCCTAGGTTGCCACCCAAGACGTCTCAAGGTCATAAGCGTGGCCCCCGCAGGGCCTGTGACTTGCTGCCAACCAAGTACCGTCTGACAAATACCTTCGAACACGACTGTCATCTCATCATGCGGAGCCCAGCCCAGATGTACAGCATTAGCCCAAGCCAGCAGGGGGGCGGAGTTCGCAACATACGCTGGGTCGGCCTGCGGCGTCGGCGACAGCATGAAGCCAATCGTGTTACTCCTGCCCTTGGCCTGCCCGAACACCGCCTCGCCCGCCACCGAGCGCAGCTGCTGGAGGGATCTGTCCGACACTCCTGTGACCGAGGCCCCGTAGAGTCCTGCTGTGTTGGCACCTGCGCGCACGATCCTGGTCAACATCTTGAAGGACGATCTCAACCCTCGGAAACGGTGGGCCCTTCGCTTGAGCTTGGCCACTCGGGCCTTCTGCACGGGGTTCCTTCGGGCCTTTGTCATGGTGAAATCCACTCCAAGAATCCCCACCACCGAGGCCCCAGTGAACCCCCACCTGGCCAGGGCTCTCTCGGATCTCTGGACCACATCAGGGTGGGTCGACACGATTTTGCCCTCAGCCCTGGCCAGAACTAGGTCCAACTCCTCCAGCTTCCTGCAGGTGAAACCGACGACGACAGGCGGCATGTCACGCACAAGCTCCCTGCTGACTCGAACGCGTACCGTGATTTCATCAACCACGTTGTACACGCGTGCGAAGGGAAATTTAGCCATCACGCAGTCCAACATGCGAATCAACAGTACTTTCAGAAGCGTCGTGGCGAACGTACACCCTGCAACGATCGTTTGCTCCGTCACTACTGGCGCGGATGCGACCTGGCCTACCGCGAGGAGACGAGGGCAACGGTATACACACAGCAACAAGCGGATAATCTCTAAAGGGAACTTCGTCATCTGGGCCGCATCGATCAAATGTCCATGCAACACTCTCTCGTACGCCTTGGACAAGTCGAGGAGGCCCGTCCCTGCACAAGTGTTCGTAATCCGAGCACGCTCTGCAGCGAAGGCCTGCTCCCAGACCCCACGTTCACAAGACATGCATGTGCTGCCGTGAAAGAAATCTCGCTTATTCTTATTCTCCCGTTCCCGAGCTACAGATCTGGCGCAGCGCCCCCACACTCGCACAACGGTGGCTAGGATACCAATGGGCCGAAATCCGCCCTCGGGCTTCACGGGCATTGCAATCGTGATCAAGGACACCTGAGACGGGAGTCTGCCCGTGTCCAGCACCCAGTGCCACAGCAAGCCCAAGACTGTGAGGCCGCGGTCAGACAGATACACGAGATCGCGAGGGCTCAACCTATCAGCCCCGACAGCCGTCCGCTCCTTGAAGGTCCTTGCCACCCTGCGGATGGCGTGGCAGTCAAAGGGCGGGATGCTGGCGGCCTCCTGCGGGTCGACGCCCTCCCTCTCCAGCATGATGGACAGGCACTTGAGCGGGTCGAGCTTATCGCTGGCAGACACCGCGACCGCGTCCTCGACGGGCGCCGATGCTCCCCAGATCTCACTCCACTCATGCTGCCATGTCTCGACTTGCTCACCGAGCCCCATATGGGCCCCATCAGGTCCAGGCGCGGAAGGTTTCCATCCCACGGGCGATTTCGTGAATCGGTGGGCTTCACCCGCTCCGTGCCCACATGCTTCAGCAACCCACCTCCACCAAGCTGCGCAGCGGGCCCTCGCGAAGGCCTGCTCCAGCAAGGAGGCGAAATAGGCTGCCTCTCTCGAATGCTCATCGAGCTGCCCACCTGGCAGAGCCAGAATGCCTTCGAAAGGCGGGCACCAACGTCTCCAGAAGCCAACCTCTTCGTCAGGCGGCCGACTGCCCATGATCTTAGAAATCAACACCATGCAATGCTGCGGGAAAATGCCTTCCGCCCGACGAACAATGTAGGCCAACTCCTGAAATCGAATCGAGACCTTCCTCCAACCGCGAGCCTTGGCACAAGATAGAGCATATGGGCCTCCTGATGTCTGCAGCTCCTGCGCCCTGCGCAACTTCCGGCCTTGTCCCCGACCGCGGTGCTTCCTCTCGTCAGGGCCTGGGATCCCATGTGCCGAAATGAGTTCTGTCTCCACGAGATCAAAGAACATCTGGCAAACTCGATCCAATGCTTCCTGCCCACTACGCTCGCTCGAATATGACGTGTCCTCTCCCCAGTGAAGTATCGCCTCCTCAATGGGCCCCCAGTCAGGCGGGGCAGGCAGTGGCAACTGCGGGGCCTGAGTTGGGAACCTCCCCGGGCCTGACATCGCCAGATACTCAGCGCGCACAGGATGAGATCTCAACCGCAAGGCAACTGGGTAATGAGGAGTAAGACACGATCCCTGCACACGCTCAACTCGCTCAATAGAAGGGGCAAGACCAGACGAGACCACGAAATAGCCAAGCTCCCTCCAAACATGTCCTTTCCTGCACGTGGCTGACCCGCATGCTGCAATATGTCCTCCCACTTTGCTAACCCAGCCGAACGTTCTGAGCTGCGACGGTGGGCAGTTCCAGTCTCCGCCCACCACGAATGGTAGACGCAAAGAGTGAAGCACCTCTCACAGTCTAAACAATATCTGCAACCCGACATCTCCTGGGGGGGTCCCCTGTAGGCAAGTGCAGCGAGACAGCGAGGAACCCCCCTGGGATGATACTGTTAACCCATGCCATTGTGACTCTCGGGGCCGAAGGCAATGGCTCACCTTTCCACGGAGCGGCAGACATCCCAACGTGAACTGGAACAGCGAGCCTACTCCTGCTGACACCCCCCCCGCCTCAGTGATCCGGCTAGGACTAAACATGGCTGACCAAGACCAGCTCTTAACAGTAGCCTCCTTCTCATCCTTGGCAGAGGGGTGCACTCCCACTTCCTGCAACAAAACAACGGCAGCACCTGCCGCCTCCTTCTCGGAGAACTTCTGACAGCTACACCTTTCTGAAGTGTTGGCCGTCAGGACCGTGAACACATCGGGCCGAACACGCCCGCCCCTGCGACCCTCGCGTTCCCGCACTCTGAGCCGCCTGCACAGCTGTGGGCGCCAAACCTCCGCTGCTGCCTCCTCCTCCTGCAGTCGCTGCCCCACCTCCCTTTCTGCCCTTGACCCCCCCCCCCTTGCTGGCTGCAGCCCTGGCTGCCGCGAACGATTCCTCAGTGGATTTGGGGGGAGGCCCAGGGCTCGAGTCGGGGGAAGTGTTGCCTGCTGCTGCCGGCTGAGGTGGTGCTGCTGCTGCTGCTGCTGCGGCTGCTGAGGCTGACTGAGCTGGCTGCTGACGCTGCTGCTGCTGCTGCTGACCCTCAGAGCCCCCAGTAGCAACGCCATCGCCACCGCCAGCAAAAAAACCCTCCTCCGCACGACGCTTCTTAGCTGCAAGCCTCGCTTTGAGTTCATTTTGCTGGTTAGTGGCATCCTTGGCCTGCTCACGAAAGGGCCTAAAGGCCTGCAGCGCTGCCTCCTTAAAAATCTTAGCCAGGTGTTCCTTCCTCTTCTTCGCCTCCTCCACCTCCTCAGCCGATGGCTCCCATCCCGCCTCCTCCAGCCCAAAAAGGCCGCCGTCATCCAACTGAACGCCTTCAAGACACCCGTCCATGAGAGACTCCAGGGATAGTGCTGGCTTGGCTGGCTGAGGGGGTTGCTGGGGCTCCTGGGGCTGCTGGACTGAAGAGGCGAGCTCCCTGACAGCTGTGGCGTACTGCTCTTTGGCCCTCTCGAGGGCAACGAATGCGTCGGCACTGTCCTTCTTCGCTTGCTCCAAAGACTCCTGCAAATTCGTGGCTCTGCTGACAGCACGATCCAACGCGGCCTGGCACCTCTCCATCTCCTGCTTCGCGGGCCCCCACTGCAGCTTCGGCGGCTGCTCGAGGTCACGAAGCTTCTCACGATACTTGCTGGCTGCCTCGAAGTCAGTGCTTGTTCGCTTTGCACCCGCACGCCGCACAACACCAATTCCTAGCCCGAGAACCATGCGCTGGCATAGCGCGCCCCCGCACGCCGCCCGAAGGGTGAGGCCGTGGCCCCCCGCACAGCACACTTGGCTCCTCGAGCCGAGGTTGGGAAGCTAAGGAGCAGGCCCCTTGAGCCAAAATGGCTACGGACCTCCTCCTCCTCCTCCTCCTCCTCCTCCTCCTCCTCCTCCTCCGTCGGACGCCGGACAGGGAGGCGGCGTTTCCAAAGCCTGCGGATGGCCCAGCCAAGCCCGGGGAGGGCAGGGAGGCGCCCCGCGGGGCCCGCCGCGGCGGGCGCCAGAGCACCAGGAGAGCCACGAGGCGCCCAGTGGGGCGGGCCCGGCGCTTCGGGGCCCAGTCTGAAGGGGCCCCAGGGACACACCAATAGATACACACAAATAACAGGATCCCCCACGTTTTCCCCACATTCTCTGGGCTTTTGTCTTCCCCCCCCCCACTTCCCATGTTTTCCATATCTTCCTGGGGAATCGACGATGAATTGTGTCTGTATGCTTTTCCCTTCCTGACAGTCGTCAGACCAGGCACGGATGGAACCCGCAGGGCTGGCAGTGGAGCCCTCACCAGGAGCGCGGCAGGAGTGGCGGCGCCACGAGCCTTCGCCGTGGACCGAAACCGCGCTCCGACCCGGACGGCAACATGGGCCGCCGACCCGCTCGGGCACAGCGCGGAGCGCAGTGGCCAGCCGAGCATGTAGAGCATGCGGAAGGCGGAGCTGGTGGATCTGGCTGCCCGCGGAAGAGCGCCGATGGCGACGAGAGGATGCAGAGAGAGCCAGGCGTGAGCAGCCGCGGCATGCTCCTCGGGGAACGCGTGCCCGGGGGAGCCCCGAGGGCGCCGAGCGGAATCGGCGGCCTCCCCCTGAGTGGCGGGTGCGATCGCAGTTGCAACTGTCGGCGGCGTCATCGATGAAGGGGCCCTGGGACACGCAAATAAATGCACACGAATAACAGGATGCCCAATACTTTCCCATCTTTTCGTGGCTTCTGTCTTCCCCCCATCTCCCATATTTTCCTATATTTTCCTGGGGATCGACGATTCATTGTGTCTGTCTGTTTCTTTCTCTCGGGGATGGACAGACCCCCCTTTAGCAAAACGTGGTTTAGTGAAAACGACCTGAGGCCCAAACCTGGCGGGCGCAAGCCTGGAAAATGACGGCCACGGCGCCCTCTCGAGAACCGAAAACGGACAATTCACTAATCGACGTGTCACTGTTGGGGGTTCTGTCCAGCCCCGATTCTCTCCTGAACCGAGCCCTGCCGAGGGCGGCGAGCCGAGGGGCGCCGGGAGCGACGAGCGGGGGAGACGGCGGGGGGCAGCGGCGGAGCGGAGGCGGGGCATCGCGGGGCGGGGGCCGACGAGGGCGGCGAGGCGAGGAGCGCGGCGCGTGCAGCGGCGGAGCTCATCCTCGAGGCTCTGTTGAGGGGGCCCAGGGGCACACAGATAAATACACAGAAATAACAGGATGCCCCATGCTTTCCCATACTTTCTGGGGTTCTGTCTTCCCCCCACTTCACATATGCTCCCCCCATGTTCTTGGGATCGACGCTTCACTGTGTCTGTGTGCTTCTTTCCCTCCTGACTTGAGGCTCTGTGGCAGGAGATGATGAAGACGGCTGCACGGAGTCCTCTCCGCGCGGCGGGTGAGGGAGAAGGCGGGCCCCGAGAGCGCCCGCCCAACTGGCGGCTGGCGGCCCCAGACGCGCGAGCAACAACCTCGCGACTCCACGTCAGCGGCCGGTGGCTCGGTCGTGCGGGCAGGAGCCTGGCGAGCGCATGCGTTCCACAGTCCCTCTGCTCTGTGCAGGTAGCCGCCTGCCGCACCCCGGATGTCTGTGGTGCGTTCCGCGTTCCTCCGTCGGTCACGCACGTGGTCGTTTTCTTAATCACTGTTCTGCCGATCGGCGAAGGCCCTCGTCCCCCCCCCCCCCCTCTCCGCCCCCCCATGGAGTAGATCTTGGCTGTTCGGGGGCGCCTGTTTCAGGCAGTTGGAGCCTCCCCCATGGCATGGGACGCACTGTTGCAAACAGTCGCGCTAAGCAGAGGTCTGGAGCCAGACCCACCCACTCCCCCCTCCCCCTGCTGTCCAATGTCGAAGCGCCGAATGAGAAAGTGCTCACCACCGGGAGCGCCGCGGGGTCCTGCTTGATTCGCAAATCTCCCAGGCTGTAGAGGAGCGGTCGAGCGGGGCGTTTGTACCCCGTCGGCTGGATTGACCTTGTCCGCAGTTGGTATGGGCGTTTGCTTCTCTCTGTCTCTGGCTCTCTCTCTCTCTCTCTGTCTGCCTGTCTGCCTGCCTGCCTATCTGTCTGTCTGTCTGTCTGTCTGCATGCCGGCCAGCCTGCCTGTCTGTCTCTCAGTCTGTCTCTGTCTGCCGCTCTCTCACTCTCTCTCTCTCTCTATATATATATATATATATATCGCTTCCCCCCTCTCTGCTCATACCTTCAATCTGGCAAACATCTCGGACAGCCTTGCAAACCCGGTCGCCGCGGGCGTATTTGCACGGTTGGCCACACCTGGAAA